AAAAAAAAGCTGATCCTTTTACTACATGAACTACCTCACATCTTGTTTCCATATCACAACAGATGATACAAATGAACTTTGTTTATTTTTAACTTACACACCGAATTAGGAAAACCATAAATGGACTTCATGTAAATTTGATACATTTATGGGGTGAAATACAGGTTGTTTCATAGCAAGTTACCTTGTGGTAACGCTTTAGAAAATGCCACAAACTTCCACCTATTCCTTTGTTATCGCCATCCTCCAACCAACCTGTCAATCAGCTCAGTTTGAATCCCAAGGCTACCCGCAAGACACTGTGATGAATTTCCATCTCCTGGATGGAGGCAGATTTTCATTGTTAGATGTGGACACCAATGTAATTTACTTAGTTTCCTGTTCTGGTAAGTTGAAGCACTGTTAGCTGGGCCTGAAATTAAATTTGAGAGTGGTGATTCCTTTGGGTTTTCACATCCATTGTATCAAGCCCTGGAAAGAGGGAGGAAGTCTTGTAACTTTATCTTTAAGACCATTGTCTTAAAAATTTGGAAACAAGCTTGAATTCAGATTTAATTAGAAAATCGATTTTCCAGTTCCTTTTGAGTACTAGGGGAAAAGAAACTTTCAAATTAAGACTGAATTTAAGTTTGTTTTTAAAACGTGCATGATACTAAAGTTATAAACGATCCAAAGCAATAGAAATTAGGAACTCTGGGCCACTGGTTTGCTATTTTAAGCAATTTACTTGAATTGTGAATTGAATTTGTAGGAATTGTGCAGATCTATAGACTTACTGAATGAGATAAGCTGACAAACTAGTTGCACTGAGTTTCCCAAGCCTGTGTCGAATGCTCCTTTATTAAAGGAGCATTTTTGGTGGGGTTTGCCAGCACAGGATTGTCAGATTAGCTTCTTATTGACCTGACAATTTATTTATTTTCTTCAAGTATCCCATTTTCTTGGGAATTGAGTTTTGACCTTTTTCACTTCCGTAGTTTTTTCCCTACCAGTTTGTTTTATTTGTTCACACTTGAGCCTAAAGGACATGTTAATCCATCTGCATGACCAAAGGTTTCCTTCACTTGTGATAGTAGATTATGTTGTTACTTAGCACCACGTGTCTCTGGGTTTGCATACATGCACTTCAAAATGGTTGTTAGAAACTTTTTATTAGTACATAAACCTAGTTGCTTTTCGTGCTTTTTTATAAACAACTTTTCTTTTCAAGCTCCAATCTCTTCTATTGTCTTGTGAAGTCAATGACAGGTAGTTAATATAAATTGTTCAATTAATCACGTGTCAGCCTGGCTCAGTTGGTAGGTCACACTCTCCCCTCTGAGTCAGGAGGTTGTAGTTTCAAGCCCATGTTACGATTTGGAACTCATAGTGCAAGGTAATGCAATGCTGCAGGTATGCTGCATTGTTAGAGCTGCTATACTTTTAGATGAGACATTGAACCTGCCTGTTCAAGTGAACATTGACACTATTTGAAAAGAGAAAGGAGTTTCCCCTGGTGTCCTAGCCAACAATTCCTCAGGTAAAATTGTTGATGTTTTCATGATGGTATAAGATGCTGACCCTCACTATCTGGGACTGCAATCAAATAAAACCACTCAGTGATGTATTGGCGGGCGACTGACACTAGTGGATTGTTAATGAAAAATAAAAACATACCCATTAGAGTGGAAAATGGAACAAAAGTTTATTTCTGCTTTTATTTGAAGGATTAAAATGCATTTGAGCCTTTATTTGACTCAGTAGCTCTACGGTGGTCTACCGTATTCCTCCCATGTTGGGACAGTGGAGTCTAGTGTCCTATTCTCAAGCTGTGCTCAGACTCCAGTGTGTGAATGACTTTTGTTGACTCTGTCTGCCAGGTTGCTGGATGGATCACCTTTTGCAGTTGCACAGAATGAAAAAGTAAACAGAGATGGAGAGCGAGATTTTCTGGGTTGCAAAATGGATTGATCAAAGAGACATATTTAAAAAAATGGGCATATAAAAGCTGTCGTGTAAAAAAAGAAAGCAGAGTGTGGAGGCAAAGCACACAGAGACAAAGATACAAACGAGGGTTGTGAGTGTGAAAAAAAATAATAATAGAAAAATGTTCACTGCGAGCGTGGTCTTTAGATGATTTTAAACCAAGCCGGCTCAACATTCTCTTGTTGTTTGTTCATTCCTCTCCAAAGTGCTGATCCCATCAGACTGGTCAGCGGTGACAATTGATCGTATCACAGAATCAGCCAATACAAATAAAATGATTGTGAAGCGGTACCTTAACGCTTTGTGTAGCTGCGTGGACAAAGCCTCTTTCACCACACACATGAATGCGTTGAATTTTTCCCTTCCCCCGGAAGTCATTTATTTTGTCTGCAGACAGCTGCGGGGTCTGTACGCCTCTGACATTTGCTGGGTAGTTGGCAAGACTGATGAGCGAACGAGTCTCGCTGTTTCTAACCAGGCCTTTGCTTTGTTTGTGTTCCAAGTTGTTTAAATATGCTAGAACAAGGAACTCATTTGAATCCGTTTTGAGGGAGATTGAAGTTGCTCCATCAAATTATCAGAGCAACACCACAGTAACTTGATGGCTTTTGGTTTAAACAGCTTAAACCTGCTTCTGGCAACAGAAGCAAGTGTCAGTCACATATAATTACAGAAATTGCATAGACAAATGAGTTTAGCTCTTTGAACACCACAGGAGCATTTATTGCACCCAAATCATCTTTAAAAAGCAGTTTAAGTCGATTCAAAGCATATACAGTGTTGTGAATTAAAAATATCCTTTGATCCAACATGTTTGATGTGTTAGTTGACAGAAAAGAGTTTAGTATTTTAATGCTTAAAACATAAAGTTATAAAAAGGGTTACCAGAAGAAACATAAAATAGTGGAATATTAACCGAATGAATTTTTAACAATTTTATTTTTTATGTCATTTTTTCAATTAATTCAGAGATATTTGCATCTGAGTGAGATAGAGATTCAGACAAATGGCTCATAATTAATGCAGCCCATCAATATTATGATAACGTTCACCCATTAACCTGACAGAGTCTGAGATCTCTCTTTGGTGACTAGTTGTAAAATATGACTGAAGGATTCTGAGTTGATTCTCTAGATCGCTGCACATGAAGCCATGCAATGGAGATTGTTTTGCTTGTTCATTGCCTTTTTCAGTGCTACTATTGGGCTGATGAAAAGTCATGACATGTTAACATAGGGTACACAGCATTTCCGTGTCACGCACCATTAATGTATATTCTGTGGGAATTCACACAATATCTTGACGCAATGGGACAGAAGATTACAAAACAAATTATTTTTTCAGCAAAATTGCCAAAAAAAGTGATTGACACTTGGCACTCCAGCACAGAAATGTGGATTCATTCATCCATTTTGATCATAACATTTTGACCATTTTGATTGTTTTCCCACTAAAACTAAAATTTACAGCAAAATCCTGTGAAGAGTTTTGAAATGTTTCGACTTCACAATAAGGTGCTTTATCAAATGCAAATATTGTAATTTATTACTGTAAAGCACATACATTTTCTGACACAATGTATATGTCAAAAAAAATTACATCTTAGTGCATGCAGTAGCTTCAGCAATTCACCCACAAAAATATACAGTCAATTCACTTTACAGTATATTCTGTGAAGTGCTTTGCGATGTCTCGAAGACGTGATAAGGTGTTATATCAAATGCAAGGATTATTATTAATTTGAAGACGTGATGAGGCGTTATATCAAATGCAAGGATTATTATTATTAATAATACTATACACAATACTATTTTGACCAAAATAAATGCTAGTACCCTTGTAGCACATTCAGCACCTGAGATTCAGTTTAAGAAAAACAAATTGTACTGTATATGCATATCTTTCCCCACCCACTACACACATACACACACACACACTCATTCCAAGATGACTATTAAACACACCCGAAGCAAGGCCTGATTTTGTTTTAAATTCAAATTTCTGCTGGTCTGAAATTGAGAGAGATGGTATTTTAAACATATCGTGCTCTGACATCTGCAGATTATGATTTGCATGTGGAAATTGGCTGGTTGAATTGAATGAGGATGAACACTGTCAATCTTCCTTTCTTCATCCAGTTCCTTTAATGAAATGCTAGAAGTCAGCCCTTTGTCCTCAAATTAGTTACTATAATTTTTTTCTTACTTTTCTGCATGTTATGATGTATGAGAAAGGTTGCCATTCATTCAGCCTTTGTTAAACACAGATACCTAACACTGACTTGCTAAACAGTTTGAAATAAATTAGCATTTAGAAACTCTCAGCCTTTCCTTATTCTGGTTATCGAGGTTTTTTTTTCCGCGTGCATGTAAAGAGAATGCTCTTCTGTGAGGATACATTATCTAATGTATTCAGCTTTCTGCTGCTCATTTTTCAGATGAAGATGAGCTTAATTGAGGTTGAGCTTTTAAGTTTGTAGAGCTCTTCAGCATCTCATACAAAAGCAACTAGAAGCTTCTCATTTGTCTTGAGTATGTTTTTAGATGTAAAAAAATATTTACATTACTCTAAATCAAAAGGTGCACTGCAACTATTTTAAATGAAGTATTGCTGTCTGCCGCTACAAAGGTACAGATATAGCTTGATTCAAAGCAAGGATCATGTTCATTATTGCCTGAATTGCTTCATTCAAGTGCTTTCATTTAAACATCTTGTGATATTTTTTGAAGCAATAATCACATTAACAGTTTTTCAAGCAATTATTAAGGAAAGCCATTAACACAATACTTTAAAAACAGAAAATCTAAATTGGCATGTAAAATGGCTTGTTGTGTGGAGCATTATTTGCTGCACTCATCTGTGTGTTATTTCTTTGCACCAAACTGAAGTATGCATGAACTCGAACTTTTCATGGTTTTGCCTGTTAGATAATGTGTACGATTGAATGTCACAGAATTTTCATTGAAACTTTTATTGATTACCGAATTTTCAGGACATTGGTCTGTGTATTTCTTTGTCAGGCTTTACAATGCAGGATTCACAGAGTGTGCAAGCAGCTGAGTGAGAGATTTTCAAGCGTGGATGTAACTGCACTGTGAGAGAACCTGAAAATAGTGCACAGAAGAGAAATATTCAGCTGAGATGCCCAGTGGACTTGCTTAGGTCAGTCTGCTGTCAGAGACATCTTCATTTTTTTTTCATTTATTGATGCCAAATGCTGAATAAATGAGAGTATTATCAGGTCGGCCTTGATAATTTGCTCTATCTCATTAGTTTTCACATCAAAGTTAATCAGGAATTTGCGAGTAATTGGCAAATAGACAAAAGCACGGATCACAGGGTCTTGTTTTCTGTGCATGTCACACTGGAACATTAGTTGACTGGTTCAAGCTGATACGCTCAAAACGAAAATGATGTCTAAGGTGTAACAAATAAGATCCTCAAAATTAATGAGGTTACCCAATAAAAAAAATGAATCAATGTGATTTGGACAAATATAATTTAGAATAATTGCTTGATCGCAATTCCTGTAGAAGTCTGATTTGACCACACAAGAGGGCTCAGAATTAAGATGTCAAGAAAAGAATTAATTTGGCGACAGGGTCATGCAATTTCTTCTCCCCCCCCCCCACCCCTTTCTTTCAGGCCGGAAAAGCAGGGTGTCTGAGATGCTATTTTCCAATTATAAGAAAAAAAAGGCAGTGGAGGTTTGCCGAGTCGTTGCTGCCACTCTTCTGCTTGATCGGCTGAGCGTTTCTGCAAAGCGTACCTGCTCGCTATCAAGCAACGATCCCAGCAAAGCTTTGAGGTCTTGAGCCTAAACTGTGGGGAAGGTTCAGACAGAAGGTAAATTTGCTTTGATCTGCATTACATCTAATTGAGTCACTGGCGATGTCTCTATCCCGACATCAAGAAATTTGAAATTGTTAGATTATTTCACTGGGGATTAAACCTAATTTACGCGTGTTCTGCATTAACCTATTAGACAGGCTCATCTGCATTGCTAATGCAGTCCAGACAGCTGTCAGTGCTAAAGAAAAACATGATCATGCAATCCTTGAATGAATGATTCCAGCTCTGATTAGTGCTTGTGAAGTTAGCTGAACCCGAGTGATAAGGAAGGAAATTCCCAAGTTGCCAATAGCAAGAAAAATTATCAGACTGTAGGCAAAAAGCCTGTACCTCGCAGCTCATAGGCTTTAATCTAAGTGCAGCTTAAAGTGACAATATTTAAAGCTATAAAAATGTAATCATGCCAACTAGGGCAGCTACAGATCTGCAGGGTCTGAACAAAGAATTGTGGCATTACAGTCTAATTTCTAATGAACTTTGGCACTAATAAGTGATTCGGTAGATATTTTAACATTGCAGAGAAAAGCCTCTCCACCCCCATACAAAATCAATTTTAGACTTAAAAATAAGAAGCCTGGCTTATAACGACACTGACAATTCCTGAAAGTACTATACTTACACAGCCCATTTCGTAGATTATTTTCTAAAACTAATAGTGGAATTGTTCCTTTTTTTTCACAAAAAATAATTGGTAAACTCTGCATTTTTAAACTCGATACCTTCTTGTCACTTAAATCTGCATCAGGCCTGGCAGTTGTGGAAGGCTGAGATTTACAAGCATTAGGTCAGGACTGAAATTCTTCAATTCCATCCCGTTTGACTGAATGTTACACTTGCGTTGGCTTTGCTGATCCTGCGGTCTTTGTGTACATTGTAATGAGCACTGCTGTAATCCCAGGCTTTTTTCTTGCTTCTTTCTCGGAGGCTGTAGTCAGCTGTAAAAAGCAACAATGGCAGATCCCCATGAGAGGTGAAAATTTAGGGATGGTTTAGGGCTTCCAGTTATAGAGCTAGTAACCGATTTAATCCTATTAGCACCCCCAAACAATGTCCTTTTCCATCCGAATGTGGGCAGAAATCAGTCTTTTATTTGTTATCAGGTAGGAGTGAGTGTTTGTGTTTTACCATCCGATTGCCAAGACAATAAACTCCAATAAATTAGGAAGATTGCACTAATAGGTCAATATTTATTTGTTGTTTTGGCATCCTTGTTTCAGAGTGGGACTTGTTGATCGAGTAAACTTTACAACAGCGATTACCTCTTAACTCTTAGGACTGGCTATTGTATATATAGGATGAGACAGAGAGATCCACACTGATGAATAGCAAAATAATTGCCACTAGAACAATTTAGAATGGAAAGTGTTTGTAACCAACAAAAGTAGGAAATATTTTTTTTAACCTAAAGATCAACAGGCAAAGTCTATTTCCATCCCAAACCACCCATAAATAGGAAATGAAGCAAAATGGCTTTGTGCACAGCTAAACAAAGTAATATCAATTGCTGTGACAGAGAAATTCTTGACCATATGTCTATACAGCTGGCGATAGAGAATACTTTTCATAATGTCAATTACATCTATGAAATGTTCCTAGATGGTATCCATGTTTATGTTTTATATGCAGTCTATGACCTTTACTTTAATAAATTCAAATATATCCAGTGGCTTGAAACTAATTGATTTTTTTTGTTTTCATTTACAAAGCAAATTACGGATTTTAATAACTTGTTTCTCATGTGTGTGCAAAAATTATAATTTACTGGGGAATAATTTGATTACAGATGAAATCAATTCCACCACTCAAATGCATGAGTATGTCAAGAATTTAGTTTCATATAATTCTATAAACTGGTGCAAGGTTATTGACTTGAAAAGACTTTCATAAAAGTAGTTACAATATACCACTACAGTTGTCATAATGAGTCCTATAATTAATTGACATTGGTGTATAATTTGTAGTATTTCTTCAATGAAATTAATACATAATAATAATCCTTGCATTTGATATAGTGCCTTATTGTGTCTTTGAGACATCTCAAAGGTATCCAATTTAAGCAATTGAGGGCTCCTTCCAGTGACCCGAAATACGACACATCAACCTATGGGAGTTTTGCTTCTAATGGAACGGCAATCCTATGGGTTGATAAGAATTCTAACAGGACTTCTTAATAATGAACTCTGTTAAGAAATATCCCAATTATCCCTGTTATCTATGATTTTTTTTAAAAAAAGTACCAGCCTACAGAAGATGTGCTATTTTTTCTGCATTTTGATGGTAATATGCATGAGCCTGTCAAATAAGTTAATTCTTTGTGTATTGAATAACACTCCCTCCTTTGTACCATATGAACATACTTATCTTTATTTTATACCAAGTAAAGAATGAAGTTGTACCAAACTCCCATAGAGTGGGGCCCACAGTCACTGCACTGTTGTTGCTGTTGCTGTTGTTGAAGATGCTGTCTGGCGTGAATGGTGCTATATAAATGTAAGTTGTTGTTGTTTTTCTTTACCTTGAAGATTCAGTGGCAAGGGTTAGAGAAACGTACCTGTTTTGAAATCGGCACCACCAGGGCTCAGTAGAGGAGGTGAATTTCAGGATGATGTAAGATATGTGCTTACCCAGCTGACCTCTGATTTTATCCCCTGGGTCTCGTATCTACCTAGTGAGGGCTCAAACTTGCACTTGTTGGATGTCGAATAACTATCTTCTTTGGAGGGGAGGAAAGCGGGGTCTCCTCGGTGCTGAACTGGCTCCAAGGTGACATGTCTGGCAATGGAATGTTGGAATCGAGCCTACTGTAGCGGACTCGGTAGTCCGGTTTCTGAGCCAGGCAGGCAGGTCTGCAGTAATCCAAGGCACTGCTGCTGACATCACAGCCAGCCTGGCTCATCGGCAGAGCCTGAAAGGGCGGCTGAAGGCACTGTCAAAAAGGAGGGTCTTGAGTCGTGCCTTGAAGGAGGGAGGGAGGAAGGCAAAGGGATTGTGGGATGGAATTCCAAAGAGTGGGGGCAGCGAGGCCGAAAGCCTGCTGCCAATGGTAGCGCAGGTCGGGTGGGAGACCTGGAGCAGGCTGGAGCCTGCTCAGCGGAGGGAGCAGACAGGTTGATAGAGATCAGCATGTCAGAAATGTAGGAGAGAGCAAGACTGTGGAGGCCCTTGAAAGTGAGGACGAGGAAACAGTACCGATCAACCACGGGCTTACCTAGACTTGTGCGAACGTTTACCATTTCTTGACAACCCCATGGGCCAATTCTCTCCCACGGGCCACAGGTTGGCCACTACTGCTAAACAGTATATCCTGTGAAACTCTTTGTGATGTACTCTCAACATGGAATGGGTTTTATCGAATATTAGGATTATTATTAAGAATACAACAACAACAAGATTACATTTGTAAACCCTTTCACGTCGGAAGGACATCCCAAGGCACTGAAATACAAGAGCTGGAAGTCAAATACCGCAGGCTTGGCTTCACAGATATTCCCATGAAGAATGCTATCAAAGGATAGTCTCCAGACAAACTGATCCATTGAAAGAAAAAAAGTAATTTTGAGGCCACTGAAGAAGACCGCAGCTTTAATGTTAGTCTCCAATTCTCTGAGTAGATGGCTGTACAGTATGGGGAGATTCCAGGAATGATCCTTTGTCTGTGTTGAGTTCGTTAACCAATGTAGAAATTTTTAATGGGTCAGTTTTCTTGGCTCCTATTCGTACTTTGAGGACAATTCAATGATGCAGTCTGTTCACTGCTACACTTAGCAAACTTGGGCGTAGTGGGTTGCTAGGGAGGATGGTTGAAACAAGGATGCTGGACTCATGGTCATTTAAGAAATGGTTTCATGTTATAGATGCTGCAGTGCGAGGACAATAGATTGGGTATTCTGGAAGGTTAAGATCAAATGGGCCACTGGGCATTCCTCATCTAAATCAATCTTATGATCTTGCGACCTTGTGAGTTGATTTCATCCAGGGCTGAAACTCGGCCACTACAGTTGGCTTCAGTGCTGTGTGTTAGACTATCTCCTAGTTCTGATTGTTAAACATTAAACACTAATAGTGATGGAATGTTTGGATATTGGGTGAGGGAAGGATCAGGGTGTACTAAATACCAAGCCTCAAACATTGATGATGGGCAGGGGGGGTGGGAAATGTGCAACAGGCCCAAGTTTGCTAAGTGTAGAGGTGAACAGAAGAGTGAGCCTAGAGAAGATCACAGAAGTTGGAAGGATCGAGTGTATGAAGGGTTTTGTAGGTGAGGGTGGGAATCTTTAAGTTAATCTGCTGAGTGACAGAGAGATAGTAAAGTTTCACAAGGTGATGGGAACACATGCAGTTGGCAGAGTTTTGGATGAGCTGGAGCTTATGGCCAGTGTTATTGGGGAGGCCAGTGAGGAGAGGATTTGAGAAGATTTCAATGTCTGCAGACTAAATGGGGGTATGGTGCTCCCATCTAAGAAACTGCCCTGAAGTGTACTGGTGCTTTGTACAGGTAAACTGCTTGTTAAATAGGTTCAATCCTAACAGATTTCTTCACATTTTTCTACAATAAAAGCAGAATGTATAACATCCAGTCACCAATACTGGATAACGGTAGCTTAAAACTGTATCAGTGTGTGCTGAGTTAACTGATCTCCTGATGGATAGAAGTTAGTAAGCTGCAGTTGGCCTCAACATCCATGGATTAAACAGGGGAAATCAGTCTGGGTTTCCATTCCTATCAAGACATCCACGGAGAAAAATGGATATGTTTGGGTGCCTGATGTCAGGACTTTGCCCTCAGTCTATAGTGACAGTCCAGTGCAGTGCTTGGGATGAACTTCATTGTTGAAGGTGTCATCCTTTGGATGCCAGTACATTGAGGTTCATCTACCTGTTCAGGTGCAAATTTAAAGATTCTACTACTCAAAAAGAGAAGTGAGTTTTCCTTGGTGCCCTGACCAACAATTCCCCAAATAAAATGGATCATTACTTCAGGGCTGTTTGCGGGA